ATCAAAGCAAGTAACTAACAGGAAACTACCATTTACAACAAAAGTCGTCAATGTAAGAGTTAAGAAAAATTCTTACAATGTTCAGAGTGAACTTTATCATAGGTACTTATGCAGCCTTATAAAGGTCTTGTCATATAACTTAAAATCCATCTTAATAGTTAAGTAAATGTCAACTGCTTAAGTCTTCTTTGAAGACACTTCACCTGCCACCCAAAGAGAACAAAACATTTAAAAATCCCAACCAATATGTTCCACTGTACACTTGTTTTAAACCCAACAAAAAGTAAAGAATAGGAATATGTGCAAGATCGATTTGTCTTCCACAGAACACCGTAAAGTGTCAGAAGAACAGGGGCAAAAGCCCACCAGGGGTAAAGAACAGCTATGAAACTTCAGTGTAAAGGAGTACCAATGGCCATGACACCTATTTAGCATTGTATTTGTGAGTTTCCAAAAAAGAAAACAGTGATGAAAGACACATCAAGCTAAAGCTAGGATATTTTAATGTTTCCAGCAAGGAAAGCAACTTCATAAAATATTTGGCCAAAAGGAGATTTTGAAGTTAGGTTAAAAATACTCAACTTTTTAAATAAAGGAAGGATTATCGTATTTAAAACCCAAGCACTGTATCAGCAGAGGCACTGAGAAAGGCCAAGTAGATTTCAGCCAACTACAGTGAATTACGGTGAGCAAAACAGTAAGGTCTTCTACACTTAAAGGTATTAAAAAAAAGATCTGCTATTAGCCAATGAAGACCACTCACGTATTTCAAATGTAAACATAAGCATACAACTTATGCCAGTATAGAAACTTACTATATCAAGACGTGTTGCTCAGAAAACACAAAATATTTTCCAGAAGTACATTCCAGAAAACTAATTTAAATCAATTTGCTTCACAGCAAAGACTTTGTTAATCTTTCCCAAGATCAAAGCAACATTCCTCAGACTATTTTCTACATTAAACATCTCCACACAAGATTAGAGAACAAGGGGAGGAGAGAGAGAACACCACCACCACCACCACAGTGACTTGCAATAGTTTCCCTGGTAAGTGTGCAATCAGTTCAATAAATTCCTTAAAATATAAATATTTCATAATACATCATAATACCCTCTAACTCGGAACTAAACAGACTGATGCAAAACTACCTTCCAAATTCAGTCACAATGTCTCTGCTGTAGCCCACAATTCTCTCAAACCATCAGAAAAATGAGCGTGTCAAGTCAGCAGTGTATTTAATAAGATAAATGAAATTCATGATTCTCAGTCATTGATAGAACCCACACTATGAAGATAATTGTCATAATTAAAACTACACATAGAAAATACTTCGCAGCCAAAACTGAGAATCAATTTTTAATATGCTGTGTCATAAAAAATACCCTGTTACTTACAAAATTATTCCCCTCTATAATAAAGACCTATGTAAAATTTTACTGAAGTTAAGTAAAATTAACTTTCACAGTTGGGACCCTAATTACAGGTTAATGAAGACAAGGATAAAATGTCCAGAACTTCATTAAAAGTATAGCTAGAACTAAGGCAAAACTGTTGAAACAATAAAAACTAAGATTAGTTCACTGTTACGAAACTACAAAAGCACTACCACCATATGGTTTCCTTATTACTAGTTAGAGCATCATTAGAGCAACATGTCAATTCCCAGCTAATTATACCACTAGAGGCTGTGAGCACAGCAAAAGTAGACACTAAGGTTACTCAAAGATACCGTAAAAAACAAATCAGAAAGCGACTTTAAGACCCAAGATCTATCCACATACTTTAGAGCAGCTAGAAGGTGCGGGGAATAGCAAATAATATAAGCTTCCTTACTGTTTTCCAGCGGCATTTTAAGCACTGGAGAAGGGGCAGGGGAAGAGAACACAATACAATGAGACACAAACATTTTTTCCTTTCTTTCATCATTTTAAGGAGCAATAAATCCAAGTTTATTAGACAAGTAATAGCCAGAAATGTAATCAAAGACTGGACTCAAACAAGGATCAAATGTTTTCAAGTCTCACTATTCTCCTTCAGAAGATGATATGGACAAAGTTGGAAACATTTAATCAGTACTGCCCATGGGACTTTTTGATAAAGCCATACCTCTAAGAAACAATTCTATACAATTCATTTAGAACTCCTAAAATAATTAAATTCTGAAAATAAGCCTAAGTTTCACTTAATCTTTTCTGATGTGTAATGAGGGTAAGCTACCACTGAAAGGCATAAGGCAACAGCATATAACATATACCTTTTAGAATGGAATTTGGACTCAGCACTTTTGCCTCTGAGCAAATGCTCTTAGTTCAGGGGCACAAACAGCACAAATTTAGGTATCCACAGGATTAACTATTAGTTTATACATCTGCAAACCATAAGCACACTTAGTGGTATAAAACCACAGTGCCAAATATAGAAATATGTTACTTTAATTATTAATGTTTATCTATGTATACTAAGTAATAATTTAGAAAGATAGGAAGATTTAAGTTCTAAAAACAAAAAACCTGACAAATCACTTCAGAATTCCTGAGGCTTTTAGATTATTTAAATTAAAAAAAAAAAAAAAAAAATAAAGTAAAAAAAATCACAGAACTACCAGAGTCTTTCCATTTAGTTTTAAAGCTACTGCAAGGAACAAAATTAAATATGAAGCATGAGAAGATTGTGACTTAGTAACTTCACTTACACGAGCAATACAATAATCCTTGGGATTTTCCTTCTCCAGACCGTATTTTTCCAGTGCTTCAATAACTGCAAAGTCTGCAGTATCCGTAGTGGACAGCAGGATTGTCTTGTACGGTATATTTGGTTTTAAACTATCTGCATAAATTCTCAGTGTCCCACCTTGGAAACAAAGTTTAATTAACAATGCTACCAGAGAATAAAAAGACATACATGCAGCCATTTATGATATTTCTAACAATACAAGAACAAACTCCTTCAGAAATCATTTAGTCAATCCACTAACAAAAGAAAAGTTACGTAACATCCCTGAAATAAATGTCTCCGCCATTGGTAAAAACCTCCAGTGATGCTTTCCTAATTTCTAAGCAAGTCTTTTCCCCAGTGCTTCACCATTCTTAATATTACCTGAAGTTAAAATGAAACAGTGACAATGACTGGATGAAGAACTTACCTCTCCCATCCTGACAGCAAGTTTGTGTTGACCGTCAAGAATCTCCCCTCTCTTTAAAAAGCCCATTTAAGATTTCCCTCAGGTGATGTTTCATACACCTCTAACTCCTTCTTCACTACTCGTCCATGGACGGAATAAATCTTTTGAGGTTTTATCAGTACTAATATTGCTTCATTTGTTCATTTAACGCTGATGTTTATACAGCCACTGTTGTTGTATCCCCACCCCCAAGAATGTGAAATACTTGATCATTGATATTCACAAGATCTACCAGGACCCTTTGTGCAGACCTGAACAATCACTCCTTGCCATCCTGTATTTGTGCTACTGATTTCATTTTTACATTCAGGTCATTCAGCTTGTTCTTAGCAAAATGAATGACAGTTATTTCAGAAGACTTCCTCAGTTTGTCAGTTTAATAAGTCTAATTCTGTCCTTCCTTCTTTCCCAGTTTAGCACTGTTAGCAAGATCAACGAGCATATTCCCTCCCATCAGTTCGCCCATCACTGAAAGCTTTGACTTGCACTCATCACAGAACACACGCCTGTGGAATCTTACTTCTACAAATCCTTCATTCAGTTACACCACAGATAAATTAGCCATGAAGTACAAAAAATATTGGAGAAAGCAGAAGTCAAGTCAAATTTACAGGAGTTGCTGGCCTTAAAAACAGTCTCTCAGTAAACAGTTTACCGTTTACAACTTAACCAGAAGAAATCTAAGTACCTGAGTCTGGTCTGCCATCAGAACTGCGGAATTCCTGCATTCTCTTCTCTAGTTTTTGCTGTCGCCGCCGTTTCATAACTACCTCGGGATTGGATATTGTGCGAGTGAAGCTGGTCTCAGGCATATCTTTGTAAACCTCAGCTGCAAGGCGAGAATTCTCACTGCCAAGTTAGTTTAAATAAACAGAAAAAATTGTCATTAATACCTCAGAATACATATATCCTCACCACTTCATAAAGGATAAAAGGCAAGTGGAATCCATACACAGAGAAGATCAATTAAGTTATTGTAAGATGGTTTCTACATGAACTTCACTTTTGCTAGGATTAACACTGTTCATGTACCTATGCTCACCTGAAATAGACAACAACCAATTTAAGTATTGATGGTTGCTAGTTTTCAAAGAAAAAGAAGGCCTTCTACCTCTTAGGGAAAAAAAAAAAAAAGGCATTAAAGAAACTTTACATTATACCCCTAACTTTATTCTGATTTACAATATTGCAAATCACATGGAAGCAGAGTTACCATGTGCTTGCAGCTCATGTTTTTTCTTTTGCCAAGCTACTTAAATACAATTCTATTTGAATTTTAAAAAATTAAGATCAAGCTCAGTAACGGCATAGAATACTGGAAAGATCATGCCGATATCCGAAGAACGTTGCAAACATATCCATGCAGAGCAGTACTACATGTATGAAAAACAATCATGAACTCAAAAAGAGAAAAAAAAAAAAAAAAAAAAAAAAAAAAATGAGCAGCAAAAAAAAAATCAAACTGAGCAGCTAAATCCTCTATTATATGTCAACCAGTCAACTAATTTCTTTCATCTCTGAGACTCTGTTATCAATTAATAAGTTTTCATCATTCATTTTCTTTCTGGGTATGTTAAAAATCCACCATTAATGATTTTTTTTTCCTGGTGTATTACATATGAAACCTACAGAATCTGGTACAGAGACAAAAGTTTAATTTAATGTAGACCATTCTCAGCTTTCTAGTTCTACATACAGCTATTCATGCCTGACTCTTGTGCTTCAGTTTTCTGTACAAGGATTAACGTATGTCCTGCCCTGTCTCAATGAATAAAGCACAGCAGATTTGGGAGCAAGAGCTGAAGAACCTAGAAGACTGGCTACCAAAATACATCTCAGAGAAAAACAAACTGATAGTCAGGTGGTAAGCCAAATGCAAACACCTACACATACTAATTTTTCTGGCAAAAGACAGAACAATCAAACATACGGAGAGGAAAAAACCCACTCCAGAGTAAATGCTCAAAAATAAACATAGTGAGGAAAGTCCATGTCACCAAGCATGTGTCAATTTCCGTGCAAGGACAAAGAGGTGGAAAAAAGCTTATTTCATGGTTTAAAAACAAACCTTGCCACAAAATGTACATACAAACCACAGAAATCGCCATCACGTGTTTTGGTTTATGATGATATTGCACCCATGTCAACTACTTACTTTTGAAAGAAACAACAACTTATTTTGTAGAAAGTGGGAATCCTTTAAAGTAAAACGTAGGTTATATGAACTGATCAAAGGTTAAAACACTCACATATCATCCCCATGAAGAAGTCTATCATCTTTATCTGAAGCTTGTCGCAACGCCTCTTTTTCACGCCTCTTTTTTTCTTTTTTTTCTTTTTTTGAGAGAGTTCGTTTGAAATTCTGAATTACTCCCTCTTTTTCTTGTTTTTCAGGGCCATTACTCTGAGCCTTCTGAAATAAATGAGTTAAAACAACTTTCATCATTTTCAGTCCAATGAAAAGTTAGTGTTGGTTTTAACTTTCCAGATAAATCTAAGACATAGTATCACTAACACAAAAACAATACTCCAGGCAACAATACTCCATTACACAGGGATGGGACTAATACTCTCCAGAATAACGTAGAAGGCAAAAATAATTTCATATTCCAAAGTAAGTATGAACTGATTAAGCACCTTGTACTCAAGAAAGTGAAGAAACAGCAGAATTTTACTTGAATACTGCCTACTATCTACTTGGCCTCAAAGATTAACTGAAAGCTGCAGAACAAATTTCTGCCTCCCAGTAAAAATACTTCACAAAACAACGCGGCACTTAATCTGCTTTCAAGACAACTGCGTTGGAGCATCAGCTAAGAATAAACTGCAGAAGAAAAAACATTACAGAGGACATTTCCCCTATGATGTATTTTTCTGAGTTGTCCTTCCAGTGTTCTCTTCTCCAATTCCTGCTCCTTGCATACACAAGATACCTGTAATCCTAGGCTCGTTTGCCTTCTGTAGAGAAAATAATAGAAGATGAGAGAAAGATGATGCAGGTTTTTTTTGCTTCTATCGGGAAGTGAAGAACACAGAGAAGGAAGATTGAAGATTACTTAATTCAATGAATAGGAATAGCAAGTCTGGTAGATGTAGTGCAAGACATCATTAATTTTCTCTCCCCACCTCTAACATGGATGTACCCTGCAGTGAAAAGCATAGTGCAAGAATAGCTCATGTACCTATACCCAAAGCACCTTTAAAATTAACAAGCTCTAATTCCAAGAACAACAGAAATTTAGTGCTCAGCCCAAGATGAAAAACGTGCCTGAAAATAGCCCACACTGAACAGCATGTTTTCCATAGCTATAAGCATCCAAGTTAGATATAATATACATAATTGTATGACTTCAGGAGCCAAAGTCTGATCTAATTTAATTTTTAAATGACTAATATAAAATAAGCTTTTGTATGGCTGATGTTCACATGTCCCTCATTTTGCATTCGGAAGGAAGAAAAAAAGCCTCCCCAAAAGGAAACAGTCTCCCATCAGTTTTGTTAAGAAACAGAACGTTACCTAGGGAGGTAACAATTTTTAGTTATTTAAGTCCCTCTGGCATCCCCTTTTAAAGGCTCTGCAAGAGATAGGATTACCTCCTAGGTGTTTGGCAGCATATACTATTTGAGGAAATTTTTAATTCATCATATTAGAACAAAGCAAGCTCTAAGTTCTCTGGGCATTACATGCTCCAGTACTAGACAGCTACACGGATCAAAGCATCACAAACCATCTGAAAGATCATAAAAATGCTGTGTTATGAAGATGCATTTTAAGTATTTAAAAAGACTCGCTCCAGAGATCAACTGCTGATGACCACCTTTGTTTTCAGGAATTAGAAAAGTAGAAATTATGTTTTGCTATATAAGCAAGTCCCACACATTTCGAAACTGTTGTTACCACTAGCATACTCCTTAAAGACTCACCTTTGGAGGAAGTGTATCATTTTCATTCTTGAGAACAAATCTTCCCTCTCGATCATCTTTGTTCCAGTTTAATTGTACAACAAGAGGCTTCTCATCTACATCTAATCTTCTTTCTTCTTCAAAAAAATGGAAAGCAGTAACAGTTACTTGGCACCCCAAGAGCAAAGATATTTAGAAACAAGTTATGCTCTAAAAAGAACAAAAGGTTTGCTGAACAGTACACATCAGTTGATGCTTCCCTGTTAAGTATAGGGGTAGAAAGCCTGGGGAGGTAGTAATGTATGTCCCCTTTCCAGCAAGCAGCCTAAGTGTATTCCCTCTATCTACATAAGCTAAAGGTCCACGTAAAGTAGTCTTGCATACCTCCTTTATCAGAACTGAAGTCTGGGAACACAAGATTATCACTCAGGAGAAGTTACATCTACAGTTATGATGTTTCAAACTTTGTAATTTCACGAGACTTCTAAACACTCATTTTCCTTATTTTAAGTTTAACCAGTCTGATTGTGGCCCAAGAACTACTATTCTGGAAAGGCTGCACAAAAATAAACTAGGTTTTGAAAAAAAAAAAATCTATTATGCTGCACAAAAATAAACTAGGTTTTGAAATAAAAAAAAACTATTATGCATATATACTAGACAAAATTTTATTTAGTGTATTTAGTGTATTATATCTATTTTAATTATATGAAAAAAAAAATCTGAGTGGTTAAAAAAATTAAACAAGTGTTGCCATTTGATTCCCTTCTAGAAGTAGGAGACAGTACATATGCATAGCAAGACAATGATGTCTTTGCAGTTACATTTTACTTAATGAGAAACACTCCTATTGAAGGAGGTGCCTCTCATGAGCCACATTTTAAACATCAGGAACTTGCTCTGCAAAGGAAACCATTTCATTTTGAGTACAAATACAGTGCTAACAGATTTTTAAAGAAACCTAAAGCAGAAAAAACACATACTATTCATTGCTTAAATTAGTGATGACACATGCACTTTTCCCGAATCCCGTAATTCACATCAAGTCACCATTTGTGGACCATGAAAAGTGACACATATCCCAATAAATTTCCATTCTCTATCTCAAGTTAAATTATTTTCAGTCTTTCAAAAGCAGAATTTAAGGTAGTTAAACCACTTGCGTAAGCTTCCAAAGTACAAAAAAGAAAAAGCACGACAAAAAGCTAGTTTCTCCTATCCCTGTCTCCACCACCACCACACACACTACCACCCTCCAACCTGAAGCTTTCTATTGGGGTGGGGATAGACAAATGCTAGCAGCATCAAAAGGCTATTTAGATATCTAAGTTCTTCACAGGTAACATGAAAGGATCTGTTTAAGAAACACAGTGGCTTCAAACAATACTATGTTGAACTTCCCCCAGTTTAGCAGTAAAGAAACATGCACTATAAAGCTACCTATCAAAGGCCCACAACATCAAAGAACTGAGGATATACTCTTAAGTGCTCCAATTTAACACTCCTATTCTCCCATTATAAATTTAGTCTTTACCTACTAGTCCTAAAAATAGCAACTCTCTCACAAATGTCAACAAACTAACAGGATGTCAAGTACAACATTTAATAGGTCATAATCAAAACTTACATTAACTGCAGGCCTGATACGGGTACTTACATTTTGGAATTACCACTCCCCCACGTAACAATTAGTAGCAACGTACTTAGGAACAAAAACCCCAAGTCTTATGTGGTTCAGAAGCTGGGGGCAAATCTAAATGCTTAATCTAAATTTTGGCTGGGGGTGCATAGGAAGGTGGTGTGGATGCAGAAAAGAGTTCGTGAATAAATACTAACCTCCCCTGACATGCACCTCATAAAGCGAGTATTTAGGGGATGACAACATTCGCATGTCTGGTCGAAACTTCTCTGCAAGAGTTTCTATCACATCTTGAGTTGTGGCAGTACTAGAGACACGAATACATTTTGTTGCAAAATTTCCAGCTGCTTTGTCTTGAAAGTAGAATCTCATTACTCCATGAAACTCCAGATCCTGTAAAGAAATAAAAATACAGATCTGAGTGCTGGCTAACAGTTATAAGGTTCAGAGTTCTTATATTTTCATAATATATTTGTAATGAATAAATAAAAGACATTCAAATATCACACTGGTTTTCAAAATTCTGAGGACAGTAGAATTTACTAACTAGGACACCATAAACTTGAAAAAATAAGGATATTCTATAAAAAGAAATTAAGTACTCTATATTATTGGAAATATTTAAAACTTGAATCTTTAAGTATCCAAATTTACAGCCATTGTCAAGGTTTACCTGAAGAAGAATTAATCCCCCCCCCT